CTCTGCTCCAGCTTCAGCCTCTTCAGGGTGAGCTCAGGAAGCTTCTGCAGCAAAGACAGAAAACATTCCCTTCAAAACTGCAGCTTTTCAGCTGGGACTTGAAATCCCCAGCCCACGAAGAGTTGAGGGATACAAGGGGCTGTATCCAGCTCCAGCTGCTCCCCAGTGCAAGACTTGCCTTACCTGGGGTGCCAGTTTGCTCCAGTGCGAGTATTTGTGATCCCCCAGGATGGGGCATCCCAAGCCATAGGCCAGGTGAACCCGGATCTGGTGCTTCACCCCTAAGGAGAAAAAGGGAAGAAGAGAAAGGTGACATCCAGCTGTGCCAGGTCTCGGCACCCACCACCCTCAGTGCTGGACAAAGCCATACCAAAATCACTGGCAGGCAGCAAATAGCTCACAGCAAAGCATCAACTCAGCAGGGCTTATTCCCAAAGCTTTGTCCCAAAAAGGATTCCAGTCATGTCTAATAACAAGTTGCCCCTTCCAGAGCTGCTGCTGACTGCACAGAGAGCAGATCCAGCCCCAGGACAGCTGGGCAGGCCTCACTCACCAGTGATGGGCTGGAGCTCCAGCAGTGAGCAGGCGGAGGCCCCGGCCAGCCGGCGGTACCGAGTCACCGCTCTCTCAGCGTTCCGGTTCCTGCGGATTTTCATCACCTTCCCATTCTCCGGACACAGGCGGTAGTTGGGAGCCAGCGTCATCTGGAGGGTGGTGAGAGGGGGAGTTGGGGGAGACAGGAGGGGATGCTGGGGCTGCCTGGCCAGAATGGTGGCTGAGGGAACACAGGACTCACCTTGTAGTGGGACTGGTGGCTCTGCACCTCCTTCTCCACAATGGGGATCTCCACAACGCCCTCAACAGGGTCTGGGTCCCCCAGGACAACTGCCCTGGAAAGGGAAAGCAGAGGTCTGCAGGGTGCTGCTCTCACAGGACAGGAACCCTCCCCTCAGCCCCTCTCCCATGACCCAGCCCCATAAAATGGTGCTGAAGGGGGGAGATAAGCAACATCCCCTGCTTCCACAAAACCTTCACACCCCAGTGACTGTCCCCTCACCCTTTTTTTAAACCCCCTTCACAGCCCCTTTTTCACTCAAAACTTTCCTACCAGTAGATCTTCTCCACCTGACGGGTTTTGAAGAGCAGACGGATCTTCTCCGCTGCCTCCTTGCTCCGTGCCAGCACCATCACACCTGTGGTCTCCTTGTCCAACCGGTGGCACAGGTGGAGGGGGTCAGCTTTCATGTTCTCCAGCATCTTGGCCAAAATGGGCAGCACATCAGCGATGCAGTTCTTGATGCCAGGGCCGCCTGCATGACCCAGGGCAGCAAGGAGTCTCACCTCTTGGGCTCCCCATACACCCTAAATCACCCAAAATGTGAGGGGAAGGCTGAGATCTGACAGTGACCAAGTCCCTGGAACCCTCCCTGGGAAGGGAAACCCCAGCACAGGAAGGACAGAGACAGAGGATCCCCGTCAGCACCACGGAGCCATTTCCATTCCCCACTCCACCTCACCGTGAACAGGGAGCCCGTAGGGTTTGTCTATCACCACAATCTCCTCATTCTGGTATACAGTTCTCTGCTTCAGGATCTTGGCCAGAACATTGGGGTGAACCTGCTGCAGCTGCTGGCTCAGTGCAGCGAGTTCCCGGAGCCACCGCTGCACCGGGTCCTTGGGGATCTGAGGAGAGAACCAGACACCAGTGCTGGGGTTTAAACAGCTCTTGGCTTTCACACAAACCTGCACTGAGACCTGCAGCAACCTCACCTTCCATGTGCTCCTGCTCAACGCTGTGGAATCCAGAGGGACCGGGATAATCTCAGACAGAGGCCTTGGGGAATCTCATGGGGTTCAACAAGGCCAAGGGCAGGTGCTGCACCTGGGTCAGGGCAACACCCAGGATCAACTGGGGCTGGGGATGAAGGGATGGAGAGCAGCTCTGGGAGAAGCACTTGGGGTTCTGCTGGGTGAGAGCTGCACAGGCCCTGGCCCAGAACCCCCCTGTGCTGGGCTGATCCCCGGCGTGGGCAGCAGGGGAGGGAGGATTCTGCCCCTCTGCCCCACTCAGGTGAGACCCCACCTGCAGAGCTGCCTCCAGCTCGGGGGTCCCAGCACAGGAAGGAGCTGGAGCTGCTGGAGCCAGGCCAGAGGAGGCCACGGAGCTGCTCCAAGGGCTGGAGCCCCTCTGCTCTGGAGCCAGGCTGGGAGAGCTGGGGATGCTCACCTGGAGAGGAGAAGGCTCCAGGGAGAGCTCAGAGCTCCTTCTAGGGCCTAAAGGGTCTCCAAGAGAGCTGCAGAGGGACTTTGGATAAGGGCCTGGAGTGACAGGATAAGGGGGCATGGCTTCGCACCGACCAAAGACAGAGTTAGATGGGATATTGGGAAGGAATTCTTCCCTGTGAGGGTGGTGAGGCCCTGGCACAGGGTGTCCAGAAAAACTGTGGCTGCCCCATCCCTGGGAGTGTCCAAGGCCAGGCTGGCCAGCGCTTGGAGCACCCTGGCCTAGTGGAAGGTGTCCCTGCCCATGGCAGGAGATGGAACCGGACCTTTTCTGTCCCATCCCTTCCACCCGCTCCCTGTGACCACCCGCGCTGTGCATGCCGGGAGTTGTAGTCCGGGGACGCCCGGGCCCTACGGCCCGCAGTCCACTCACCTCTCGCTGTTGTTCCTCGCTCTTCCGCAGCCGCTCTGCCAGCTCCTCCGCCCGCAGAGCCGCCGTCGCCCGCCCGCTCCCGCAGACGCCACGCACCGCCCGGGCCAGCCCCACACCGCTCCGCCAACAGCGCCTCGCCGCGCCGCTTCCCGCCGCCATCTTCTGCCTCCTTCTCCGCGTCTCTCTGCCGGCCAATGGCGGCGCGGCGGGTGCGGCCC